GGGTCAATTCTTCCTTTTTCACCAGAATTCGAATTGGATCTCTCATGAATTTTTTGGTCACTTCCAACACGTCAGTTGGCATTGTGGCAGAAAGCAACACAACCTTAAAAATAGACAATGATTATGTTGTAGCACAGTTTTCACAGTACTGCTAAAGGAAAAATGTTTGAGACCAAGCGTCCCTGTCTTACTATGGAATGAAGTTAGACAGAGATAGTTATGTGTCAGTTGCTTTAAGCAGGGGGAACGACAATATTAACACTTCAGTTATATTGTAACAGTGCCTGCTGCATTAAACCAAACCTCCACGTAAGAGGGGGTGAAATAAAGCTTACCTGAATACTTGTATTTAATTTTTGGAAAATCTCATAGATTTGATCCTTAAACCCTCGGCTCAACATTTCATCTGCTTCATCCAAAACAAACATTTTGATCCATTTTGGAGCTGTTAAAAACAAAGTTATACTGTTGTCTTTAAAGTCTTAAAATACTATTCAACTTCTTTTTGACTATGTAACAGTAAAAACACATTATAGTCTTTAAAAAGGACAGTACTTACAAAGGTATCTTCTGTTTAACATATCAAACACTCTCCCTGGTGTACCAACTACAATATGTGGTGCTTCAGCCTGAAGTTTTTGCATTTCATTTCGAACATTGGTTCCACCAATGCAAGCATGACAAGTTGCTCCCATATAGTCTCCAAGTGCCAGAATTACCTTTTGGATCTAAAAACCAAAAACCTTAATCATTATCACGCAGAATTATGACCTCTATGACTAACTTTCAGAACGTAATGGCAAGTATCTGTTCTGCCAACAGCTTTTATGCATGCATAGCACAGAACTACTTCCAAGCTTAAAATGCAGACTGACTTAACTGCCTCGAAATAAAATTCCCGTAATATCTTTCTTGTGGCTTGTCAAACTTGGGATTCTGTTGCCCCACGTATCAGCTAGGCAATTAAAGAACTAATACCCTTTCCTACATTATCCCTCACTGTGTAGGAAGGTGTAAATAACGAAACTTAAAGTTCTCCAATTACAGCTAGGGAAGATGTTGATAATTTTTTTCCCCACAGGGTACTGTGTGCCTTATATAATTTTGACCTTAATAAAGCCTACAGCTTTATTAGGAAGGTTTACTTCAAAGCCAATACAGCAGTAAGCTTTGAAAACATAGCATGCAACAGATGCATCACAAACTACTGAGACAGTCAAATGGTAACATGTCACTGCAGTTTTCACGTTGCACAACTGCATTAAAACTTAAAAAATGGGGTTGGATCTAGAATACCCTGAACAGAAACCTTCAGATTCTCAATCTGTTGGTATACAACCCTACAAAACATACCTGCGCACCCAGCTCCTGTTTAACTTTCAACAAAAACTCCCTGCATGCATGGACAATTAAAAGGAGGGCTCTGATAGGACCAATTTATACTAAGTTTTAAATTCTTCACAGTTGTGAAACCTGAAACCTATGCAACACGCAAGCAGTTTTTTTGAACTACACTATCAATACCTGTTGAGCCAGTTCTCTGGTGGGGGCCAATACTAGTGCTTGGGTCTCCTTGAACTCAATCTCCAACTGTTGCAGGATGGAAATAGCAAATGTGGCTGTCTTGCCAGTACCTGACTGAGCTTGAGCAATCACATCATACCCT